TGATGAATGCTACAGACCTTCAATGGCGAGTCGAAGAAGCAGGTGAGAAGATTTATTAATGGAGTTTTGTCAGAGAGAACTGGAGAGCTACTGTGTGCATATAATGCTTGCATATCGGGAAGAAGAGAGATTTAGGAACTTATAAATTAAAAACAAAATATATTTTTACCGAATCATAATTAACGGTTGAGATGAATCTTCCGGTCTCGTAAATATTAAATCTAACGGTTATGGTTTCATCAGATTAGTTTTTGATTAGTGATAAAACAAATTGGGCTTAATGGGCCCATTTTTGTTCCAAACCTATCTCTTCTTTTACTAGAATCAAGATTTAGATACTTAACTTCTTTTTTGACGACAATTAGAGATACTTGGAAAAAAATTATGAATTAAAAGGATGATCTCAATAAAATGATGTATCAGTCGAAAAAAATGATGTATCAGAATTCATTGAATAATGAGTTTTGTGAAATCATATAAATGAACACGATAAAGAAACAAAATTTGGTTCTTGTTCTTCCCACACGCAAACTACAAGACAGAATTTTTTTACAATAAAATATAGAGACATACATACAACAGCTCTTCAGAAGTGGCATTTGAATGAAGAGTTTTAAGAGATATGGTCTCAGAAATTTACAAAAGAAAATGAAATAGACATTTGATTAGCGAAATGAGATGAGATTTGGATATTTGTTTGGTCAATAAGGGTTTCTATGTGGAGTCTGTGGAGCAGAGCGAGGAGGGTTTAGTAGAGGTTGAAGTGCCTTCACCACAATGCTCATGTTTGGTCTAAAATTCGCCTCATACTGCACACAGAGTGCAGCCACCGCGGCTAGCTGATCAATACATCACACCATGTGGCAAATTAAATCAGACACATGAAATGATTCAAATGTCACAGAGACGAAATGATTCAAAATTTAAACTTCTGGTTCGCTACTTTGGTTCTAATGTCAGCAGATAACTAGGCTTCTGAGCTATACTCTTAAGTTTCCAATTTAGATCTTTTATGCTGCAATGAAAGATTGAGAGGAAAAGCAATGTTATGGGATTACAGTACCTTGGCAACAGCTTTGGGAGGGTACTCTCCGAGTAGTCTTGCATCTACACATTGCTTCACTTTGTCTTCACTCAGTTTAGGAGTTGCCTGAGACAACATACAATATCCATACTGTTTACGTAACACACAATAAAGAGGGGTTTTTTCTTCCAATTTCCAAGTTTCTTCGAGGTTTTCAACCATTTTGTCAATTTTAACGGACTGGATGAGCCAAGTAATTTATAAAAACACGGATCTTCGTTAATCTTCTATTAACAATGCAACCTAACCAGAATTTGAAACAGAGGAGATAGCACCAAAAAATTACCCATGTCACTAGACTTTGTTGTCCACGAGGTAAGGTATGGTCCACTGGTTTGCGACCTGTAAGGAGCTCCAGCAGAACAACGCCAAAACTGTACACATCGCTTTTTGTGCTCAATGTTCCTGTCATTGCATACCTGAACACATAACCCAAAATGTTTTAAGCTCAAGATTCATCAGGGAGAAGAAATGCAAGTGGGGAAAACAGTGTAAAGGTAAAAAGATAAGAAAAAAGAAATCCAAGTGAATGAATTAGTGGTCTCATAACATTAGTTTATGAGAACCAAACATTTTTTAACGAAGACGTGCAAGTCTGAATGAAAAGAAAGAATAAAAAAAATGAACATCACAGTTCAAGTTAAAGAAAAGAAAATATCTAAAAAGGGCATTACTCTGGAGCGTGATAGCCAAAGGTTCCTAGCACACGGGTTGAGTGAAGGCGTGCAGCCATGTCAGGGGCTTGATCAGACAGATCGAAATCAGCAATCTTAGCAACATCATCATCAAACAGAAGTACGTTGCTGGATTTGATGTCTCGGTGGATAACCTGAGGGTTCACCTTCTCATGCAAGTACTCAAGTCCTCTGGCTGCACCAACAGCGATTTTGACTCTCTGTTGCCACGTCATAACAGGACCTCGCAGCGCTCCTTTGACTCCTTTTCGGCCTGCACCAAAGAGACACCATGTTTCATTAGTTTCTTCTTCCTGTATCTTACTTTCAGATGTTCAAATATTGAGTGACTGATCTATATCCAAGCAATGGTTTACGTTAATCACTCACCGTGAAGAATATCATGAAGAGATCCTTTAGGAGCATATTCATAAACAAGAACACGGAGAGGACCATCAACACAATAACCCATAAGAGCAATGACATTGTCGTGTCTCAATCTCGAAACCATTGATACCTGTTAAAAGTTTCTATGTCAGTAACAAAACAAAAAGTAGACAGAACATGCACAAACGAGTGGTTTGATGCTGGACTATCATAATATAGGACACATGTGGTCTAGGTTAAGCTGGGAAAATCATTTTTGGCGTTATTTTACAAGATGAAGGCCAAACATGCAATGATGAGCTTTATAGCATCTACCTGGGAAAGAAATTCTTGATCTGGCTGCTTACTAGAGTCAAGCTTCTTGATGGCAGCTACTGTACCACTTCTAAGAACACCGTAAAACACTCTTCCATATGAACCCTCACCGATCAAGGCCTTTAAACCATAGTTATCGGTTATATCTTTCAATTCATCCACTGGAATGGCTGGTACAGCAATAGGCTGCATGTTGATTACTGGCTGGTTCATGGGTGGATCAGCTCTTTGATAGTGGCCTCCATTGTAACCTTTAGAAATATTAAAATCCCATTAACTTAGAAGCCGAAGGATAGACACTAAGAGAAACACTGACAAGTAATGCAGTTGAAACTGAGCTACCAGCAGGGTTGTGCGCTGGCATAGGCCCCGTGTCAGTAGCTTTACGAAAATCATCACTCCCACACCAACCAAAACAGCTCATTACAATCTTCTCTCACACGAGCTAACGAAACTGTGACAATGTTTGCAGAAGACAAAATGTCAACAAACAGGTCTACTAAATTGAGCAGCTTCACAAACTTATTGATAACAAAGACAATGTTCTGACACAGAACTTTAACAAACAGTTTGCACCAAACTGTAGTTTCTACCAAACTATATGATGCACAATGACATGGAAAAATGCTATAAGTGCAGAGTAAGATTCTAGCAGATTATGCTTCTTAATGAAAATTCTATGTATAAACAAGGTAATAGGCACACAAAATCAACAGTTTTTCAAACAAGATTTGGCTATCTAAGACGCGTATCGTTACCAACAAATGCTTATTAGTAAACGGTTTCCATAAAAACTTCTACAAGATGCGCTAAATCATGCTGTGTGCACGAACATTGACATGTTTCAGACACAAATTCTCAGTTTCAGACACAAAATTTCAGCATATGTGTTGCAGAACAAGATTCCAGCAATTAGGTATTAAAGTTGCTAATGAATAGTAATCAAGATAAGGTTTAAGCAGTTAACATAGACAGAATTATCGAAAATTCAACAAAAGTCAATATCAGAAGAAGTAAAATACTTTCTCTCCATATAAACCGATTAAAATTCTGAACAAGGACCAACAACAACTGAGACATTTTGTTTCCGTAGACCTAGAATTTTCACAAGTCAACGAACTTTACCCATGAAATGGATTCCAAACTGGAAAAACTAGACATCAATTCCGAGATTCCGTTTACATCGACATGAAAATCGAACCAAGTTCCTTAAATTAGGGTGTTTTAACACATTTAAGGAAAGTACGAAAAGGGAAAGTTATAC